TCCCGAACCTGGCCACTGGGCTCCAAACCGCCGTCGGTGCGGAGGTTACCTCGGCCGGCGGCGGCAACACGGTACGCTGGTCGCCACGGCGGGCGGGACCGTTGGGTGGGGTGCGACACCCCTGGTACCCGTCTGTCCGTGGGGCCCCCCGCGTGGCGGCACCCGCCGCGGTGCCCCGGGTGTCGGAGCCCGGGGACCCCTGAAAGCCCGTGTGCGGTTGGGCCTTGATGCCCTCCGTGCGCGGGTAAGTAAGGGGCAGGAGTCCAGTGCCCCCGATGATTATTCCGGGGGTCCGAGACATAAGGTGGTACCCCAGGTGAGTACACCGGGGCACGGTCGGTCAGGAAGTTTCCTGGCCGGCCGTGGGGCGCGCCCTACCACCCAGAGCCGCGGCGGGGAGCGGGATCAAACAGGATGACAGATGCTAAAACTATTACAAAAACAAAAACAATGACAGACGCTACGATAACAATAACAAAAACAGAAAAACAAAAACAAAAACAAAAAAACACAAAAAAAATCTTCAAGGAGGAGACGGGAGTTCTCTCGCCCAACGAGGACGAGAAAGAAGAGGAATTCGGTAGCTGCTCCGAGCACATGGAGCACACCGATAAGACCGCCATAATGTCAGAGGAGGATGCCTTCTCTGACAATGAAAGGGACTGCAAGAAAAGACCGGCACCGAAGAGTGTCAAGCAGATGAGGGAAATGGAGAGACTTAGCCGCGAGAGGCTAAGGAGAAAGGAAAAAGAAGGCAGGAAAATCCGGCCACAGTCGGACGGCAGGTCCAGATTGAGGTCAAGGGAAAAACACGGCCAGCTTGCCCACGAGGAAGATGACGATGACGAGGAATTGTCGTCGCCATCCCGGAAGAACGGCCGGAAGAAGGAGAAGAAGAGGGAAGAGGACGACAGAGGGTCGGGGTCCGATGAGGACGAAGTAACCTTTATCGCCTCTTCTACCGAATTGGCGTCACAGGCCGAAAGACAGAAATTCCCAGAGGGAAGAACTAGAGCTATTCTGGGCGATACCCAGGAAAAGCTCGCCGAGGCGCTGGGAGAAAACTGCCCACAAGTAGGGATGGACAGAGAGGAGAAAGGACGGGGCAGAAAGGCGGAGACAGGCGAGTATTATATTAAACGCCTGAACGATGCCAAGGATGCACTGCTAGCTGAAGCGGAGATACTGAGGGCTCTGCGTGCGGGAATGGCACCGGACTCCCTATCAAACAGCAGAAGGGTGATCGAAAAGGAAATGGAAGAGGAGCTGAGCAACGCACCGACGGAGACACTTCCATCGAGGATATTGGAAGCTGTCAACAACGTCGACATGGTTGCTCAAAAATCCAAAAACCTGCAAGGACCGTACACGGGGATGCTAAACAGATCGGCAGCAACAGTGAAGGTCGCGATATCGCACTTACTGCAAAGAAAAGACAGCGGACTGAAACCGCACGAGAGGGACGCCGAGTTGGATAGGCTCCGTCAAAAGATCGCGGAGCAGGAGAACGAAATTAGGAGCTTGAGGCAACTCGAGCTCCAACACGAAGCGCTAAGACGGGAGCTCGAAGAACAAAAGGAGCAAATGAGCCGCCTACAAGAGGCGGTTCAGGGGAAGACAGAGGCACAAGATGAAGGCAAGGAGACCAGAGGAGCCAAAAGGAAGAAGGTGAATCAATTTCCCTCCTCGGACGATGAGGACAACGGGCCTTCCAGGGGGGAGAAGGGAGTGAGCGAGAACGGGTCCAACAAGGACACCCTACGCCAAGAAACGGAAGAAATGGAAATCGTCGGAGAGGAGGAAACGACGGTAACAAGGAAGGATGAGATCATGAGAGAGATAGGGGTGGAGGGCATGCCGGCGGTAATTCGCCCCTCGATACAGGGAAAGCGGATGACGCTGGACCCTGAAGTGCCCCCGGCAGCAGCGCCAACACCGGCAGCAGTATATGAGGAGGGACCAACAGCGACCTTAGCTGGTATGCAGGCACGCCTGGCCGAAATGTTAGTCAAGTGTGTCAATGAGAAAGTAAATGCAATGGGAGAGAATCTCTTGAAGATCGTACAAGAAAGACTCCCACAAGCTCCTGGAAAGAATAGGGGCGGGGAGGAACCTCTCTCTCTCTCTCTCCCTCAGAGGACAAGAAAGGAGAACAAGAAAGGGGGGAAACGCGAAGAGGTCGCAAAGAAGAACCCTACCGAAGAAACAAAGAAGGAGGTACCAAGAACCGGGACACAAAACCGAGCGGCCGGGGCCCCATCTTCTTTGGCTCAGACGAGTGCCAGTCAGCCGGAGGGGGACACATGGTCGCAGGTGATTGGGAGAAGGGAGAAAGCTGCCGCAAGAAAGGAGAGGCAACAACAGGAGAAGAGAAATGCTCCTGCTCCCGCCAAGCAGCAGCAACAGAAGCAATCAAGGAGGAGAGAACCAAAGACCTCCGCGATCACACTGACGTGCCCCAAGGAAATGTACGCGGAGTATATGAGGACCGTCAGACAGGCAATCAATCCTAAAGACTTGGGAATTGATAAGCCTTTGAATACGAGGAGGACAGCGACGGGTGCCTTGTGCATCGAGCTGTCGGGGCAAGGGAGCGCCGAAAAGGCGGACGCCCTGGCAGCGAGGATGCACGAGGTGGACGCTCATCGGAAAAGAGGGGGTTAGGGTGGCCCGCTTGACGTTAACGGCGGACATCCGGCTGTCGGGTTTCGACGAATCAGTGACAGCGGAGGAGATAGTACGGGCGGTGGCGGAGACCACCGGGACCCACCCGTGCGGTATCACTGTGGGGCCGTTAAACCTGGGCCCGAGGGGTATGGGCACGACGGTCGTAAAGTGCCCGGTGAAAGCGGCTAACGTGTTAGCAAAGGAGGACAAGGTAGCGCTAGGGTGGACGCGAGCCAAAGCAGAAGTGCTCACGAAGCGTCCGCTCCAGTGCTATCGATGCCTGGAGTTGGGACACACAAGGGCTGTGTGTCGCAACGAGGCGGACCGTACCGGTGCTTGCTACCGGTGCGGAGGACAAGGGCACGTGGCGCGCGGGTGCGAGGCACCCGTGCACTGCCCAGTGTGCGCAAGTAAGGGCAGGCCGGCCGACCATAAGGTGGGTGGCAAGGTTTGTCCCGGGGGAGGACGGAAAAGCGCGCCCCCGAGGGAAAGAGGAGGACAACTGGCTCCCAAAACACAGGGAGCCGGTGCCAAAGAAGGAGGGAAGAAGAAAGGAGCGAAGCCGAGAGTAGCCTCGATTGAACGGGTTACCGGCTACGAAAGTAAGGGGAACGTACTAAAGGTGACGGTCCCCAAAGGACAGAAAAAGATGGGGAAACCCATCGCCGCCAAGGAAAAGGCAAAGGAGGACAAGGTGGGAAAGATGGGGCCCACAGAGCGTCCAGAAAGAATGGACGTAACAGAGGAGGATGCCCACGTAACAGATACGGAGGCAGGGCAAGAGGGGCCTGAGGCGGGCTATATGTAGTCCCCTAAAATCATGCCCCTTAAAATAATGCAAGCCAATTTGAACCACACCCGCGCCGCACAGGATTTATTTATCCACACAATGGCGGAAAGCGGGTGTGGTCTCGGCGTGATCGCAGAGCCCCACAGGGTCCCAACGACCCATCCATGTTGGGCCCAAGATAAAGGGGGGCTGACTGCGATCACGTGGAGAAACCTGACGGAATCCCCTCCGTGCAGAAAATTAGAAGCCGGAGTGGGATTCGTAGCGGTACAATGGGGGCTCATCTCCGTGGTGAGCGTGTATGCCCCTCCGAGGTGGGACCGGACCAGATTCGGACGCGCGCTATACGAGGTGGATGCGTGCGTCCGGCGTCAGCTTCCTGGCCGGGTCCTGGTGGCCGGGGACTTCAACGCGAAGTCCGCGTTGTGGGGTTCCTCGGCCACCGCCTGGAGGGGCAGCGCAGTTGAGGCGTGGGCGGCGGGTCTCGGCCTGTGTTTGTTAAACACGGGCCGGGAGAACACCTACGAGAGCCGTCGGGGGACCTCGATAATCGATTTGTCGTGGGCAAACCCCCTGGCGGCTCGTGAGATAAGCGGGTGGAGGGTGGCCACGGACCGGGAGAGTCTCTCCGATTATCTGTATATAGAGATGACGGTCCGGGCCGCCCCTCCGGAGCTGCTTGCCCGCCGCCGTACGAGGGAGAGAGCCACACGGAGATGGGCCCTCAAAAAGCTGGACCGGGATTTGATGGAGGCCGCAATCCTGGTACAAACATGGGGTGAGGAGGGCGACGACGCCGGGGAGATAGGGGACGTGGACGCGGAGACCGACAGGCTGGTCACAAACATGTCGCGGATCTGCGACGTGGCCATGCCCCGAGTCCGAAGACTCCCCCTCCGGCGCGCCGCCTACTGGTGGACGGAGGAGATCGCGAGTCTGCGACGCTCCTCCGTTCGCCACGGGAGGACATACCGGCGGGCACGCGCCGGTAGACGCGGCGTGAGTGAAGAGGAGGCGGGGGAGGCCTGGCGTGCTGCCCGCCAGGACCTCGCCCGAGCCATCTTTGCGGCCAAGGATGCGGCCTGGAAGGAGCTCATCGCGAGCGTAGAGGAAGATCCGTGGGGGCGCCCATACAAATTGGTCAAGAATAAGCTGAGACCATGGGCGCCCCCACTCACGGAAAGTCTGGACCCCCAGTTCGTCGACCGAGTGGTGAGCACATTGTTCCCAGTCGGGGACGGAGGAGAGGTGCGGTTCCCAGAAATAGCACGCTGGGAATGGAACGATGAGCTGGGGGTCACGGAGGAAGAGTTCGCGAGAGCGCTCCGCAGGGTCAGGAGAGGCAAAGCCCCTGGCCCTGACGGAATACCGGGCCGCATGTGGACCTTGGCCGCGGGGGGACTGGCCGGCCGGATGCGGAGACTGTACACCGCATGCCTGAGGGCCGGCCGGTTCCCCACAAGATGGAAGAGAGCCAGCCTGGTGCTCCTACCCAAGGCGGGGAAACCAGAAGATTCCCCGTCTGGGTATCGGCCCGTGTGCCTGCTGGACGAGGCAGGGAAGGTGTTCGAGCGAATCATCGCGGAACGCCTCGTCCAGCATCTCTCCCGGAGAGGAAAAGGAGGGTTGTCCGAGGACCAGTTTGGCTTCCGTGCGGGCAGATCGACGGTCGACGCGATTAAACGCGTCTTAGCCAGCACGGAGGCCGAGATTGAAGAGGGGAGGGTAGTGATGGGCGTTTCTTTCGACGTAAAGAACGCCTTTAACTCCCTCCCCTGGCCGGTATTGGGGGAGGCCTTGTTGAGGTTCGGGGTCCCCCCATACCTGGTGCAGATGGTCCTCGACTATTTCCGGGAGAGAGGAATGGTTTACGCGGACCGAGACGGAATTCTGAGGACCAGGTTAATGGGATGCGGGGTGCCCCAGGGATCAGTCCTGGGGCCCCTGCTCTGGATAATAGGATATGACCTGGTCCTCAGAACACCCCTCCCCTTGAGGTGCTGGCTCTCGGGATACGCCGATGACGTATACCTGGGAGTCAGCGGGGAGGGGTGGGAGGAGCTTACCAGGCTGGCTGAGGCGGCAGCCGCATGTGTGGTGCGCTCGATCAGGAGGCTGGGCTTGGAGGTGACCCCGCAGAAGACGGAGGTAACCGTGTTCTACGATAAAAAGCGGGGCCATATACCTCCTCCGGAGGGACTCAGCCTCCGCGTCGAGGGAGTCGACGTCCCGGCCACTCCCCACCAGAAATACCTGGGAGTGTGGCTGGACGGTCAGAGGAGTTTCGGCGAGCACGTCGCCCGAGTTACGGAAAAGGCGGTCGGGGCAGCTAACGCCCTAGCCCGAATCCTGCCAAACATCGGCGGGGCTAGCGGGCACGTGCGGCGCCTCTACGTGGCGGCAGTCCAGTCGGTGCTGCTATATGCAGCATCGATATGGTGGCGCAAGGTGGGGAATACCACCCGCCTCAGGAAGAAAATGGCGGCGGCCCAAAGGAGGATTCTCCAGAAGGCCGCAAGGGCCTATAGGACTGTCAGTCACGTGGGGGCGGGCATCCTTTCCGGGACCCCCCCGGTGCATCTGGTCGCGGAGGGTTACGCACAGATGTACGACCGAACAAAGGCCATCAAGGCCAATTTGGGGGTGGTCACGGAAAAGGCAAAGGGAATGCTGAGACTCCAAATCGCGCAGTCTGTAACAGCAAAATGGAAGGAGTATTTGCTGGACCCAGGACTTCCGAGTGACAAGCTGCGCGAGGCCGTCCAGCCAATATTGGAGGAGTGGGTGGAGTGTAGAAAAAGAGGATCTACATTCCACACGTCGCAGGTGTTGTCCGGTCATGGGTGTTTCGGGCAATACCTGCGACGGATCGGGAGAGAGCGCACCACACGCTGCCATCACTGCCCGGAGGAGGCAGACACGGCGCAACACACGCTGGAGAGCTGTCCAGCGTGGGCAGACGAGCGCCGTGTCCTCCGGGCGGAAATAGGCGAGGACCTTGCGACCGTGCGCAAGCGCGGTTCGCGACGCGAAGTCTCAGGAGCCCAAGGTGGTGCTGCGGCGCCTGTTCGAGGAGGCAGTACGATTACTGGCGAGGCAGGGGCAGCCGGAAGGCGCGGTCGTGCCGATTGAGGGGACGGTAGGTGAACCGGGACCGCCGTTCGAGGCGACGGTCGCGGGGATTCGGAGCCCGGGGACCCAGGCGCGGGGCCCGACCCCGACTGACGAGCTCGGGGTGCCGACCGATCTGAGCGCGCTGAAGGAGATCGTGTCGATGCTGGAGGCCGAGCTTCCTGAGATCCTGGAAATGGAGGCGCGCGCTCCCGAAGAGCGGGGAGACGAGCAGGTGACCGGGAGCGAACCCGTCACGGAGGATCGCGGGTCGACGGTGTCTTTCCGAAGCCCGGAAGGCAGTAGCGGTTCGGACATGGACGAGGTGGAGCCACGTCCAACATAATTTTAAGTTTAGCGTTCGCGCTCCGAGGATGGGTGCAATGTCGGAGGAAGGAACCAACTCTAGGAGCTGTGTTTCTCGGTCTCGATTCTCTTTTCTTTTCTGTTTTGGTTCTCTTGTCGGATCGTAGCACGCCGAGCGACCCCATCCGGCGCTGGATAGATATAAGTTTAATATGCCGCGTCACTATTTGTTATTCCTTTTTCTTTTCGTTTAATTGAGGCTCAAGCAGCGTGACTCCTCGTTAGGAGGTATACATGAATTTTGTTGATTTCGTAACGCAATTTTATTTTGTCCCGTCGGCGCGGATACGGGAGGTCATGCGGCGGCATGACAGGGCTTGAGCCCAATCACACTTTCCAGGAAAGGGGGCCTCCCGTGAGAACGACCGGGAGACTCCCGCATCACATGATGGACCAACCGTGACGGCCCACGGAACGGGAGGATGGCGTACGGCGAATGAATGGATCGCGATGGCGGAGCAGCAATTGTAGCTTCTCAACGATCGTCAGAGATACGAAGAGGTAGATGCGCGCCACGGAATGGCGGAAATCGCGCGCAAACACGAAATGGCGGACCGTCCGCTAACTAATAGAATCCGCGATCGGCGAGAAAAAACTAAGAGCCCTGATCGCCACGGGGGACCCGTGAAAGGCAACGCGCGCGCTAAATGTGAGATCCGGCCAGCGATAGGAAAGATGGCGGACCGTCGGAAAACTTGCGAACCGACGGCATTGGGGTAAAACAATACGTCCCTGACGAGGGCACGTGGTCCCCGAGTCAAGCATACGGGATCGGCGACGCGATACGCGAACGCGGACGGGAGATAGCGAACCGTCCGCGAAATCGAGCTAGGGGCGTCATCTCCGGGAGTTGAGCACCCCTGACATTCGGGGGCACTTCGCCGAGCCCACGAAGCCGGGTCCCGGTGAGACCCGCCGCCCGGGTAACGAAATGGCGGACCGTCCGGGAACTCGCCCCAGGTGAGTCATCCCCGGGGAATAAGCATCCCTGACTAACGGGGACGTCCCCGAGAACGCTCATATCCTGTCGCCGTCGAAATCCGACGGCCGATGACAAAGTCACAGAACCGTCCGCCATCTCGCAACCTGGACATCTTCCACGGGGAAGGACCGCGGAAAGCGTCGTACCAGGTGCGAAATAAGCGTCAAGGGGGGTCGACGTCGTCGGCAGGCCCGGTGCTCTGCACCTGGACGTCTTCTTCAGGGAAGTCGCCCGGATGGAGATCGTAGACGTGGTAAAAGACCTGGCGCACAGGTCGGCGTCAGCGGCCGCGCGAAATTTAGGGAATTGAAAAACGGCTACCTCGTTGCCAGGACGGAGCGACCGCGCGAGCGCAACGAGCATGGAAATTTCCACGGGGCTCGGCGCGAACGGCGTAAACACCCGCGTGGAAAATTACCGAGGGCCAACGCGCAGTTAGCGGTGAGAAAAAGCGGAATATCCGTCGGAGTGGGGATGTACGGAACCGATAGTGGGGAGCTCGAACGAGACAAACAACTCGAGGCAGTCTGTCGGGGATGTTCGAGCGTGTAACACGTAA